CCAAGTGTTATAAAATCTGAGCTAAAAGGATTTCCATTCATCAAGCTGTTTTAGGTACACGACTCCCAAAAGCAGCGATTCTCGACTGTTCCCTGGGTCTGTGACATGTGAGACAGAAATGAGCAGTGCGCCTTACCCAAAATGATGTGCGCTCTTCCCAGACCCCCCCACCAGCCCGATCACCGGCGCCTCAACAACGCAACAGAATTTTCAGAACGTCAAGGCCACAGAAGAATCAGGGAAAACACACCTTTTGAAAACTCACAATTTTAATTGTTATAAAAAAGAAAGAAAATCAAAGAAAAAGAAAATCCCCCCCTCCCTCCTGCATCTGCCAAGTGAGGGCTTGTAAATCAATGGCGATAGCTTGAAAATAGATTTCTCAAACTTATATTCTCATTTTGTCCTGCACGAATCTCTGCAGGAAAATCAATATTACAACTTCACACTTAAGACATTTTGCAGCAACGTAAACTGCCGCCGCTGCTGATGGAAGCCCGTTCCTAGCCCATTGTAGCGGAGGCGCCAAGCCATGACACGGGCACCGAGCTCCCCCTAGCGCCAAGTGGCGCTAGGCGCGGCTCGGCGTTTCAGCTTGCCATCAACCAAAAGCCAATTCAACTGAAAGTTTATTTTGGAAAGTATTTTATCACAACAAGCAACGGAGAATGCAAAGCAATCGAGATACGAGATGAAAGGGGAATAAGTAGAGGCTGGTGCAAGCAGTGCTCTAAGCTACTAGACAGCCAAGGACTCCGTTCTGAGAAGGCGCTAGAAACTGATGCACCCCACAGCTAGAAACCGGTGTCTGCAATCGACTGTGTTCTGTGCTTCCATCTCACCTGAGACATCATTCTAATTATTCTCAAACGCGCCCATAGTTGCCCTTCCCTTGGGTTGAGTAGGACCCCTTTAGTCCTGTGCACTGGTCATTGACGCGACACACCCAACCAGCTGACCCCAGCCTAGATGTCTCTAAGGCCGGCTTCAGGAAAGCAACTGCATTCACCCCGGCACTTCAGAAATGACTCGTTTTCTGTTACCAAATATTTCAAAGGCCAGACAAAAAATTCACCAAGGCCAAGGCACAGGCCGATAGCAACTTCCCCATCAAAAAAAAAAAAAGAAAGAAAGAAAGAAGGAAAAGAAAGAAATATGCATATGTACATCATATCATTCAGGTAGGGAAAAAAGACCCTTTAAAAATATTAGGGGTTGTTAAAATATGCTCACGGCTGTTTTCTCTCAGGTGTGAATTACAAATGAATAAAATCAGCCTGGCATAACACCTTTGATGAACACATTTTTATTCTCCCGTTGAATCGGAGCAGCTGACTTATATCACACTTCTAATGATATGGGGTTCCCTTCTGTGCAGAAGGGAGAGGAACTTCATTCCCCCCACCAACTAACCAAAAAAAAAAAAGAGAGAGAGAGAGAGAGAGAGAGGGCTTATGTCTTATGAAATTTATCGGAGGCCCAATTTTGAAAAACATGTGGACCACTGGAGATACACTGTACCCTGGGGAGTTAAGATAATTGTGAGCACCACCACATTCAAAACATACGGCTACAGCAAAACCTAATTTAAAAGGCAACCATGGAATTAACACAGTTAGCCCAACTTTTGCATTAAATCTTGGGTCTCTGGTTGCTTTACAAAATCATGAATTCATACAGAAAATTACTCATCTTCCTAGGAAACCTGTTGGTGAGTTGTTGAGAAAATCACCTTGATTGCGGTGATGTAAGTTACCGTGGACATCTTATTTTCCTTAGTGTCTTCAGAAAGCATCAAGCTCCTTCTTGGATTTAAGTGCTCTTCCCTTCTCCCTGGCCCTGTCTGGCACAGCAGGCTCTGGCCTTTCCTTCTGCCTGGTCAACCGATCCCCCTTAACCTCCCTTCGGCACCATTGCATCTCTGTTGTTTTATGTTTGTTTTTTATTAATAACTGTGTCTGTCCTCCGCTTTTAAAAGCCATATCCATCTGGGTCAAACATTTTGAAGCAAACCAGAAGCCCAGGTTTCCATCACCAGCTGTCTCTCACTCTTTTTTACCTCGCTCCTCTCTCTTGTCCCTGGCCCTGTCTGTAAATTTAACTAGCTCATTATGGAGCCCTTCTCAGACTCTCCCTCCTCCCCCGCCTCCCCCCCCCCCACACAAAGACCATGCGTGCTATTTGTGTGCCCTCCTTGTTTCCCAGGCCATCAGTTATTCGCAGTTGCATCATCCCTGAAGGACCTGGGCTGCTGCCCCACAGGCCTGGGAACTGCCACCCAACTGATAAAGACGCCCATGTTTTAAGGAGTATCTTTTGCATTCAAAATCTAAAATGTGGACCCCAGGTGAAGATTGCGACAGCACCGGCTTTGCCAGCCAGGTCTCCAAAGCACCCTGACTCCAGAACTCCTGCGTCCTTTGTGGAGAGACACTTGCAGAGGCCACACAGGCTAAAGTACACCCGGCTCCTGCCTTTCCCCTGCTTGCTCGCCCACCTCCCTCCCGGGTGACACTGGACAGACGAAAAGCCAGCTGCTTTTGGATAATAAATAGCCTTGTCTGAAAACTGGTTGGACCACTCTCCCAGCTTAAACCCGTACACATAGCCTGGGCTCCGTGTGCCCCTGGAAGGCAGGCGGGCTTTCCTTTGCCCTCTAGTCTCCTTCCCCTTTTTCTCCCCACCTCTCTTCTCCTTTGCCTCTCTCTTTCCTCCCCGCCACTGCTCCAGTGTCAGCTGGCTGTCCCCAGCACGGCTCTGAGCAAGGCTGAGAGAGACAGGGAGCAAATGAAGGATGGGAAAGTGCTGGACCAGGCACCCCTCACCCCCACGCCCAGCTGCCACCAGTCCTCCGGCCAGGGCTCTTGCCCGATGTCCCAGGAATGCCAGGAGAGGGAAAGCCAAAGCAAAGCAGACCTACCTGCTTCTTCCCCTCACACACAACTGCAGCCACTCCTGGCTCACTGCTGCTGCCAGCTTGGCGGTGCACCCCCATCCACTCCCCCTTCCCCGACCCCCCCAATTCCCCCTCCTCAAAAACAACCCTTGCAATTATACAGCGGCTACGTGGGGCAAATTGCCTCCTGGAGAAATTAAGCCTCTGCAAGTACAGTCGTTTTAACAACCACCCCATCTAAAGGGGGAAGGGTATAGGAGAAGCGATTGCTGTGGCTTGGTAAAGGATCGAAATGTCAACTGGCAAAAAAGACCTTGATCAAGCTCAAATCTGGCTGCAAAAACATTTTGTTTTAAATGCAACCGGCGAGTCTTCTTTGATGTTACAATGGCGAAAAATAAAAGAGAAGTCCTCTTCCCTCCCTCTAAAGAGGCATCCCTCTCCCAAGGCGAATCCCACTTTAATATCTATTCCCCCACAAAAATAATCACAATAAATCCACAAATTCTTACTAATGTATCTGCTGTAACAAAGGAGAGATGGGAACAGCGATTGCTCCGAGCAGATGGCTCCTGTGCTGGGTTTTCAGGGGAGGGGAGAACCCCTTTATATATTTATTTATTTATTTAAATTTTTTAAAATATAACATAAATATTCGGCTCTCGGCCGCCCCGCAGCCAGTCCTCGGCGGCGGCTGGGCACGCAGCCCTCTCCGGCTCCGCGCGGGCAGCCCGGCCCCAGCCCCGAGAGGTGCGCGGCGGATTGCAGGCTTACAACCTGCCCGCGGTCTCGATGGCACCCAGAGGATGTTTTATTTCTATTGCAATTTAAAAAAAAAAAAAAAAAAAAAGGAACGGCGACCCAGGCACCGCGAGAGAAAGAACGGCGGGGAAATGTTCGCGCGCAGCGAAGAAGCGACCCCGCGGGCTGCGGCGGGCGGGAAGCGCCGCGGAGCCACCTTCCCGGTGCAAGTGTTCGGGGACCCGGGGCGGGCTCCCCTGCAAACCCCGTACCTGGCCTGCTTGCGCTCGCTTTTTCCCTTTGCTAAATAAACCCAACAGGGACGGTGGAAGCTGCTGCTTCTCTTGCCCCACCGCCTGACTTTACCCGCCCCGCCACATGCTTGAAATCTACACGATTTCAGCGGGTGGATTTCCACTGCGACCTGCCTTGTTTATTTAGATGGAAAGATGAAAGATACTGAGATAGAAAGATGGAAATGAGATTGATGGGTCTCCTTTTTTTCTTTTTTTTTTTTTTTTTCTTTTACTATTTTACAAGCGCATCACTCTCTTCCCACTACTGACAACCTTTTTTTTTTTTTTTCTCGTGGCGGGGATTTTTCACCAACCCCAATCCCCCCACCTTTTTTGGAGTGGGGGAAAGAAGACAAGATCATCCCAGGAGACAGACGGAGGTGGGGAAATGGGGGGTGGGGAGGGGGGCTTGAGCCCGGCAAACAGCCGCGCAGCTGGATTATTTTGCAAATAGCAGGAGGAGGGGAGAGAAAGGCGGCGGCGGAATCCTAGGACCGGCGTGGCCGGCGCCCTGCTGGGCCAGGCGCGGCGACCGGGGACCCGAAGCCGGCGGTCGCCCCTTGCCCTCCAGCTCCCCCAGCCCGGAGCGCACCCCGCTCTCCTCCGCCCGCGCCATCAGCGCGGACCCACGCGCTCGCCAACTTTTCCCCACTTCCCGGCTCCCCCCTCCCCCTCCGCTCCCCCAACCCCCTCCCTCTCCCCTCCAAACCCCGCCACCAGCGCCGCCGCCGCCACACACGCCGCTCGGAGGGGCGAGCGTCCAGCCGGGCTCGGCGCGCACACACACTCCTCCAGCCTGCACGCCCCCTCCCCGGCCCGGAGCCGGCTCCGCAGGCCCCTAAGCCCGAGGCGCGTCCGGCTGCTCAGCGCCCCAACTCCCCGAGCTGCAAAGAAACTTTCCTATGGCCCCCGCCCCCGCCATACTCCAGGCCGACGTCGTGGCCTCTGCCAGTCCGCGGGCTGCCCCGGCGCCTGGCCCGACTCGGCTGCTCCGGCCTTGGTGTCCCCAGCCCTAGGCGCCCGGAGCCCCATCTCCGGCCCCTCGCGCGCACGCCGCAGACACTTACGGGTGATGAGCTCCCTCTGGGACAAGTGCTGCGGGTTGCCCTGTTTGCGGCGGGACATTGCCCCGGCATCTATTCTGGCATCGCCCGGAGAGCTGCACTGATGGGGGGAGCCGGGGAAGGGGGTCCGAGCCGCCGCCGCGCCGCTGCCGCCGCCGCCGCCGCCGCCGCCGCCGCCGCCGCCGCCGCGCCTCCTCCTCTGCCCGGGTTGGTGTTTTTTTTCCCTTCCTCTCTTGCCCTCTCTTCCTCCTCTTCTTCTTCTTTATTTTGCTCTTTCTTCTATGCTGTTTTTTGTTTTGTTTGCAAAAAGAAAAAAAGAGGAGGAAAAGCAAGAAAAACCTCTCGATCTAAAATAAGAGAAAGAGGCAAAAAAAAAAAAAAAAAAAAAAAAACTGCTGTTGCTTTCCGCGGACCTGCTGGTTTCTTTAAAAATATATTCTTTCGAAGGAAAAAAAAAAATCTCTTACACTTCTTCAAACTGCTTGGCCTCTTGCACTTGCAAATGTCTTCTTGAACTTAAACTGGATTTTGCACCGGCTCCTAACACTTTCTTTCAGGTCTGGTAGGTGGAAAGCGCACTTCTACCAGGAGGGGAAAAGAAAAAATTCAAACAAATAAAAAAAAAAAAGAAGAAGAAGAAGAAAAAAAAAAAAAAAAGCAAAGGAAAAAAAGCAAAGAAAACTTGGGGACTTGTCTCGTACCCCCTCACCCCGCCCCCTCAAAAAACCCAAAGCAATGTAAAACTGCCCCGGTTCGGTTGTTTCTGGGTTTTCTGCGGGCTGCTTGCTTTTTTTTTTTTTTTTCTTTTTCTTTTTTTTTTTTTCTCGGAGACTGACCCTTCCGAGGCTCTGGGGGGACACCAAGAGCGGCTCCTTCCCAGTTCACCTGGCAGGCTGGCCCCGGCCGGAGGGGCTCCCGAGTCCCCGCGAGCGCTCCCCAGCGCTCCCCTGGCGCCGCGGGCCCGGGGGGAGCGGGGCGGAGGGGCGGCTCGCCCAGTGCGCCTGGGTCGGTGCGGGCGCGGACTGGGAGCTATAGATTGCAACGTGAAGATGGCGGAGTCCGGGTTCTCTGGGAGCTCTCGGTCTCTCTATGGCTGGGGCTGCCTCTGTACAATGGGATAAAATTCAAGTTCAAGTGCGGACGTGACGTTTAATCTGCACTAGAGACAAAAAGACCCAGAGAGTCGGAGCACTGGGGGCGACTAGCGGTGGCTTTTTAACATTGTACCCTGTAAGAGAACAAGAAAGCACACACAGAGACACACTCGCGCGCGCGCACACTCACACACACACACACACACACACACACTCGCCGGTGCGCACACCCTCAGCCCAGGCAGGCCACACGTGCAAACCGCGTTTTTGTGCGTTCCTCATCTCCCACGAGCCTCGGCTGCGCTAAAAAAGGAGGGGGCGGGGGCCACTGGGCAGTATATTTTTAAATACAAGAAAAATCGTCCTTATATCTCCTCCCTCCTGAGAGCAGGACCCCCTGAGAAGGGGGGCAGGGTGCTGTGTGAGTGAACTGCATTGAATCAATGCAAGTCTCCACCCACCCAAAAGCTCTTTCGGACTTGGACTTTGGGGGTGGGGGTGTGGACTGTGGAAAAGGGTTGGGGTCGACATGGGGGGTGGGGGACATGAAGAATTGCTTCGTTTCCCTGGAAAAGTCGCTTGGTAGTTTTTACTTTTATTTTACGGTTGCGGGGGGCGCGGGTGGATGCTGAAGTTCAACTTCCAAAAAGTGTCTCCATGTAAATCCTGGTATTACAGACTCTGGGAGGGTGAGGAAGACAAACGACACCAGGAGCACGAGGGGGGTGGGTGAGACGTGTCTGAGACCTTGTTTGAGTCCCATTTGGGAAAGGATTTTCACCCGAATTTTTGCCCCCTCCCCTCACCTCACCCCAGTTGATTCCTACGGGTCAAACACGGCCCCACCTCCTAAACCCGGTCTACGGCCAGCGAGAGGCTAAAGGGACCGCGGCGCCCCACGTGGGAGAGGGACTAGGACTTGCGGGCTCAGGAGTAGGTATGTCCAGATCTCCGCAGATACTTGAGTGGGTGACTCCAGGAGGCGCCCCTGACAATCACAGTAACCTGGAAGTCGCACCCCGCCTCCCGCGCTCCTCGGCCCAGGGTAGGACTTGGAAATGCCTGTCAGACTGGGAAGGACGCAGCTGCCTTGTCAGCCGTTTGATCTCCAGCCGGCGAGGACAAGAGGAGCTGTGGGGCCTGGCCGTGGCCCGGGGACAAGGCCAGACCGCGGTCCCCGTGGAGACCCCCCCCCATTCCCCAGGCTGAAGCCAACTTTGTCCATTTGATGACCTGGCCTCCAGGGCTGGGCGCGCCACGCGGCTGGCCTCCTCTCCCTTCTCGGGATTTCTCCGGAGGCGGCCAGGGCGGGTCGGGGCCTGGCTCCGGCTGGGCTTCGCCGGTGAGTCCAGCTGCACCCACCCCACTCCGCCCCCAGGCCTGGCTCCGGCGGCTTCACCCGGGCGCGTAGCGAGGCCCTGAAGCCTCCGGGAGCACCGCCTCCCTCGGCGTTTTTTTCCTCGGGGGGCACACGGGGTTTTTGTTTTCGCCCCGAAGGTCTTGGGTGGGGCGATGGCACCAACAATGTAACAGCGCCCAGCGTCTGTGAGCGCGAACGGAAAGAGATCCCTTCCAGTACCATACCATAAAAAATAATAACAATAAAATGTGCCCTGGCTTGCAATGCTGTAAACTGTGGGCTCCAGGGTCGGGGGACGCGAGGCCAAACGGATGGAGATCGGGGGCGGGGCGCGGGCTTGCACCTCCTCGCCCTGGCGGGGCAGACTGCACCCGACTGTCCACCCACAACGCCCCATCTCCACGTGGTCCAAAGTCCAGAAGGGCCTCCCTCTTCTGCCATCCCTTCTCACCGCGAAAATCTTTCCAGGAAAGTGGCTTAAGTAAGAAAAATATGCCCACACGCACCTTTAATAAACTTCTCGAGACATTCATAAGCTGGCCATCCCTACTCGCCCAGACTCGAAATTTGAAAGATCAATTCGCGCTCTCTTTCTGAGAACTGGCGATGTGAAGCCCAGAGAGGGTGAGCACTTTGCCCTAGGACACACAGCGCATCAGGGACAGGTCTGGACCCAAAACGCCGCGGCGTGCCTGCAGCCTAGCGCCGCCGGCGGTCCGGGACTCGAAATCCCGACATTCGACTCTCACCTTCCGCGGGTTGCTTACAAGGAAGGGAGGCCCAGCCAGCGGCGAGGAGGCGCGGGGAGGACCCCTCAGGAAAAGGGGGACCCTCCCCGGGCAGCGCGAGGGCGCTCGGGGTCCCAGCTGCAGCCGCCACCCCGCGTGCGGTCAGGGGCTGGGCATGGGGAGGAGGCACCCCCTCGCAACCCCCAGCAGGAAGTAGCGGGCTTGGGGCGGCGCGGGCCCCGCCGACCCGAGGAGCACTTCCTCATTGGCCCCGCGCTGCCCCGACGGCGGGAAGAGGGACGCGCGGGCGGGCGGGCGCAGGGCCGGACATGCCGCCGCCCGCCGGCGCGCTCCACCTCGCGGCAGCCGGGGAGAGGCTGCCCTGCCCCTGCCCAGCCTGGCGCTGGCCCCTTCGCCCTACTCCTCCCCCGCTTCCTTCGCATCTTCCTCCCCTCCTCCTCCTCCGCCACCTCTTCCTCCTCCTCCTCCTCCTCCTCCTCCTCTCCCGCGAGGCGGCCGGGCGCAGTCAGGGAGCGATCCCAGCTGCCACTCCAGTCTCCTCTTTTTCCCTCTGCCCGTCTGGCACGGGCCTCATCAGCGCGGAAAGCTGTTAATGTCTGGTCTCACAGCTCCCCCTTTAGTCTTGCTGCGCTCCCTGTCTCGCGTTCCAAGCCAGATCAATAGCCGCCTCTCGGCCGACCTTGACCTCCCCCTCGACCCTGCCTAGCTTCCGCAGCTGGCCCCGCGCTAATGTTTCCCCATTCTCTAGATGCCCAGACAGAAGGTGGGGCGGGAGGGGGGTGGCCGACCTCGGCCCACAGCCCGGTCCCCACTCCTGCCTCAGCACTCCAGGCAGGCGAGAGGTGGATCCAGGACGCTTCTGAGAAGGCCACTGCACCACCCCACCCCACCTCTTCCTCACCAAGTCTTTGTTTAAAATAAAAGTCACTCCTGTTCCCGCCCCACCCCCCAAAAAGAGGGTGCAGGGTGCAGGTGGCTCACATATGAAAATGTAAAAGGAAAAAGTGTGGGTCCAAATGTGGTCCTGAACTAGCATCATAAAACCAGATGCATTCCTCCAGGACCTGCTGCAGACCTACTGTGTGCTGGGCCCAAGGCTGGGGTTTTGTGCATCCTGGAATCAGATGGAAATAAATGCCACCTTTTCTGCACTATCTTTACACACACACACAGCAGATGTCAAAAAGCTTTTTGAACTCGCAAATATTTCCCTGCTATTCTTTTTCTAGCTTCACAGTGCATTTCAGCAGATAATCCTCCATATTCTCACTTTAAATTTCTTTATAGAGGAATAGTTCAGAAATCAGAAATCATTTCATCAAGTCAGGGTGCATTTTTATTAACCTTATGTGGGGCTTTAATTCCCTGTGTGTGCTGCATGTAACACGCCATTCAGTGGGGGCAGATTAAACAGACACGTGACCCCCAAGCCAGACTTTTTGTTTAAAATTCTTTGAACGATTCTCAATACTTAACTCAGCTGAGGTTGGACTCTATTTGAGATTCCACAATGTTATCTTTGCCTTCTGAGCTGTTATATTTTATCTTATGTCTTTACAAAAATTTGGAAAGAATCAAGATAAGAAGTGTCAGTAGCAATGGGAACTCCTAATGTTTCTGCAGAAAGAAAACTGACATTTCATTTGTTTTTGTTGTTTTCTTTTTAACACAGATCCACCCTCTAAAACGCACTCAACTTTGTAGCAATACACAGCACATCTTCCCGAATCACTCTGGGCTTCATTTCTGGTGCTTTAAAACAAAGAAGAAGGAGAAGAAATCCACGCAAAGAGAAAGCACATCGCTTCGTATTCACAGGTATAGGGCAGACTGGGAAGCAACCTCTGACTGTTAATTTCTGTTCCTTCGGATCTATAAGTGTTATTGACTGTGAAGATGAGCATGAATACAATGCTCCGATCTGATCAGTG